TGTAACAACAACATCACCATTGATGTGTTCAGAGATTTTGGTACAGATGTAGCACGTCATTTCGGACGCCCCTACCCATGTGGGCCCGTGATCTGCACGGGGTGGGCCCTCGCTGAAAGGAAAACCCCCCGCATGACTTGATACGCCCCCTTGATAAATACATTTAATTATAATGAAACCAGCTGCAATGGATCATGGATCCACCAGGGGGAGCAGTGATTAAAAAGCTGCCACACTGGAACTCATGTGAAATAAAAAATAAACAGCTGATAGATCTACAGGTATCTAATATCGCGGATATTTGTTAAGATCCATATGTCACGGATAGGATCATATTCTGTGCTAAATAAGAGACATGTAATCATTTACAAAACATCACCATGTTTTTATTTAACAACATAATGTTGTTTAATCCACGTTGGCGTAAGTACAAAACCATCGCTATGTTTTTTCATCAGGAAATGCAGACCGGCTCAAACAAACGATTTGTAATCATCATCCTCACGATCATTTAATGTATCATATGTTCACCGAATTGACATGAAAGCACTAATAAATGTGGTTTAATCCACGTGAGTTTACAACTACAAAAATAATCGGTTTGTTTTTATATCACATCTGACGGGAGGAAATGCAGCACGGCTCTCACTACCGATTTTTAACCCTAATTTAATCATCATCTTCACCACGATCATTTATGTTTATGTTCGCCGAATTGACATGAAAAGCACTGACAAATATGAATATACTGTAGTCAACTTCATTAAAACTTTATTAACTTGCCCAAACTCAGTAATTCACTAAAAATAGGTTTATTTTTAATGAAGCCTCGTTATCTCACCACGGGCAAACGGGCTATAATATTATACTATTGTTAATAGTTTACTGTATTATTAGTATTTAATATTACTGCTATAACAATCACACATTGAGTTCATTGTTGTGCAATGTTAAAATCAGACCGTTTTTTTTTTTAAATAGTCTGAATGAAACGGCAGCTCTCAGCTCTCCCCCAGCTCTCCCCCCCCTGATCTCTCTTCTCCAGCAGTTAAGTTAACTGTAGGTTTGCATATTTATGCAGTGATCTGTCTCTTCCTCTCTCCCGCAGACAGCTGATCGCTGTCAGACCGGACCATGGCTGTAAAGGGGTGTCTAGTTCCCCCCCCCCCCCTCGACACATAGACTGATCCTTTGTTTTTGTCCATGTCTGATTGGCTTAGACCTTTTGACCACAGGCCTGTACTACGAAGCCGGTTCAACATAACCTGGATATGTTTGAGTTAGCCGGTTGGCCTAATCCAAAACATACGCGCTCTCGCTAAGCGGTCCTACGACGCTGGTTATCAAGTGGATCGCTCAAGCCAGCCGTGTCCTATCTAGTTAGGTGCGCGTTCACATGAAAGGGGTGGTATTTGGAGCATTCGACCAATCACAAACATGGACAAGCGTACTGACAGCGCAGCGTCATACTTCCTGAATGAAAAGTGAACTTTAATATTAGTCAAATATGAAGAAGTTAAACTTTAAACATCCATGTCTTAAACACTTTATCCAGGATAAAAGCCACATAGCTGCACCTGCAAGGTGAATACAGCTGGTAAAAGAAAAAGTGTTTGAATGCGTACATTAACAGGTTTATGATATCACTGCCCCGTCTAAGACACGAGTGGATCTGACTTTAATTACATTTGACTCAAGTGTTTCGTCAACTTAATGTGTTGCTTAAAATAATACTTCTGCATACAGTATGTGACACTGTGAGTGTTGCACGGCCAGATACGGCTCAGCTGACTCAGATAAGGAAATATATGATACATTATGATGTGATATGATATGAATGATAATGGGACACATCGACGTCTGCACTCACAGTGCCGCGGACTGTACTTAATGTTACTCTGATCCGGTTACTGATGTTGTGTCAGATATTTAAGTAAGCTTTCTTAACGCTAATGTTATAATAGTCAGATTGCTCTGAAGATGGGAGGTGATATTCTATTCATTTTCACGTTCACACAGTCAGTTGATTTTTGCCGGCCGTCTTTCTGTATTTCCTCTATCCTGTAATATGAATTGATCGCTTTAAACTCCGCACACGGAGCTCTGATTGGTCAGCAGGCGGTGCTTTCACTGAGTTGATCTCTTAGCCTGCAACCTAACCTCCTCCCGAGGAGGTTAGCCGCTCAGCATAAGTTACCATGGAGATCTAGCCCGCTAAAAAGAGAACCAGCGTCGTAGGACCGGAAACCCAGAGTTTTCCCTGAAGTTAGCGCGCTAAGCAAAAATCCTGCTTCGTAGTACAGGCCTCTGTACTGTGAACTGCATGCACTTATCAAACATTTAATTAAAGCAGTGAAAGAAAATAGTGAGGGGGTCCAAAATCAGCCAACGTGCTTTGTTTTTAATGTTCATCACTATAATAATCAAAAAGAGAAATATGAACGTTAGTTTTTACTGAAATGATCAAATAAAGTCAACATTTCACAGTGTTTACAAACATTGACCATACCGTTCACCAGCCCCCACCCCCCTCTGATGCGGCTTTCACACCAGCTCTTTTCCCTTTCTAGCTCCGAGCTAGAGCTTTTCTGGTTCAGCTCCGGTTTCCCTTTTCTGCTCCCGCTCTGTTCACACCACTCAGAGCCGGGATGGTACTGCGTCATTGCTTCATCGTTTGCGTCATGACGTAACCGTTTACGTGCCTGCTTCATAAAAGCCAAACCGCGCGGAAATCCCTCACATCGACAACAACAACAATGGCCGATTGTATTGAAGCGCTGTTCGTTTTGGTTATGCTCTTACGAAACGGAATGGAAGGCATGGGACGACTTTACAAGGAACGACTTTACTTGGAACTTTACAAACATCACATGCGAAATTCAAGACTTCTTTGTGGTCTTCAGCATCTACTTCAACGACGATTCCGTAGGAAAAAGAAGGTAAATATACGTCCTATTCGATGGCGTTAGAGCTAGCTGTTGTTAGCCTCTGCATGCGCCAAAATACCCAGCTTTGCAGCATTAATTACTATGTTATAACATTAAAACGGATTCTCAATGTTATTTCCACAGATCATGTTGAAATGGCAGAGGTTGCGTGTTATTTGGACACAGCCCAGATCTTCCGATTGGTGGGACACCATTGCTTCAGACTTCTCCCCTCAGCAATTCATGCAGAATTTCCGCGTGTCCAGGGAGTCCTTTGACTACATCTGCAACCAGCTCAGCGGCGTTTTGGGGAGAAGAAACACAAATTACCGTCTGTGTATACCCAATAGAAAACAGGTTGCAATTGCCCTCTGGAAGCTGGCCACCGGCGGAGAATACAGGACCATCAGCCATCTTTTTGGGGTAGGCCTAAGCACCGTTTGCGTCTGAAGTTCTGCTTCCACTACATATCAAATTCCCTGATGTGGAGAAGTTGGTGGAAATGGCCACTTTTTTCAATAGACGTTGGAGAGCACCACAGTGTGTTGGTGCAATAGATGGAAGCCACATCCCTATTTTACCACCAGAAAATTATCCCAAGGACTATTATAACAGCAAAGGATGGCATTCTGTTGTTCTACAGGCTGTTGTTGATGGCAGGGGGATGTTCTGGGATGTGTGTGTTGGTGACCCAGGTAGTGTACACGATGCTAGAGTGCTAAAACAATCCAATCTTTGGGTGGCTATCAGTGATGGAGTGTTGCTAGGCCAAAACAAAATGGCCATCTCTGGCTGTGATGTGGGACATTACCTGATTGGTGACCCAGCCTATCCAATGCAAAGATGGCTAATGAAACCATTTTCGGACACCGGGAGACTGACCCCTGAACAGCACACCTACAATTACAGGCTGAGCAGTGCACGGTCAGTTGTTGAGATGGCTTTTGGAAGACTCAAAGGAAGATGGAGGTGCCTCCTAAAAAGGAACGACAGTGAGCTGGAGCTCACCAAAATAATGACAGTGACTTGCTGTGTACTACACAACATATGTGAGGAACATAGCGACAACTTCACTGAATATTGCCATGAACTTGTGTACAACCAACCCCCTTTACACCCCTTTCCAGAGAACGGTAGACAAGAAGGAGCTGACGTTAGATCCGCATAGATGGACTATTTCAACATGGGGGACCACTAATATTACTGCAGTTAAACCTGATCTATTTTGTATCATGCCTCTTGCAATAAAATCACTGGATCAGACTTGAATTGTGTTTTATTTTGTATACAAATCACAGAATGTAGATAAACAGGTATGAACAATATTCTTATAAAAATAGTGCATACCCAAAAGGTTTAGACCAGGGGTCTCCAACCTTTCTTCATCTGAGAGCTACATTTATTCACAGCACTCATCGGTTGAATTAAGCTACTTTTGTAAACGTGTGAAATTGCAATACCCAAAGCTTATCAAAAATCTTAACTTCACATCAAGGTCCAAGAAAACGACAATTTCCCACATATTATTATGGCCCACATACAGTTAAGTACATCACTGAAAATTCACATAAATGTCCAAGAGAAAAATAAAATGTTATAAGACATGACTTTTGACTTATGTTTATTTTACATACAAATCAAAGAATGTCTGTACAGACAAGTATGGACAATATTCGTACTGTATATAATATAATAAAGTGTATTTAAAAAAATAATGTATACAACAAAGTATTCACAAAAAAGTGTGGAGAACATACTGTATATACTATAATTAAGTGTATTTAAAAAAGAATGCATACAAAAAGGCATGAACAATTTAGATACAAAAATAAGGTCAGTGTTTGCTGTTGGTCTCCATCACCTTCACCATCCTGTCTAACAAGCCAAGCATGTGGCTGTTCTGCTCAGTCTTCTCGATTCTGTTGATTCTGTTCTGCTCTGTTCTGCTCGATTCTGCTCTGCTCTGTTATGTTGAAAACCCGTAGGAACTCAGCATTGGGCTCCTGCACCTCCTGAAGCATCGCCCGGCTGTGCTCCAGTAGCTCTTCGTCCCTGGCGTCACTCTTCTCCATAAACAAGACAAGGCCAGATGACGAATCCCGCTTCCTTTTAACTACAAAGGGAAAAATAATAATAATAATAAAGTCAACACCGTGTTCATGACATTCTATGAGGTGTAAATTATATACTGTGTAATGAAATGTTTTATTGTTATTTTGGCTGCAGTTGCATAACTTGAACAACTACTACAATGACAATGCCATGATAAATGGCAACAGGGAACAGTATTACCATTATGACCACTGTAAACCTTACCCTGTTTGTGTCGGCCCACTGGCTGGGTTAGGGTCACCAGAGATTCCTGGGAAGAGCTGCTTGTGGCAAGAGGAGACCCAAGCATGTGCACGGGCGAGCTACACGCCGACGGTAGTGGTGGTTCCGACACAGTACACTCCAAACGAGATATGCCTGTAAACACAATATAAACACAATGAACAAAAGTAGCCCTTCAACAAATCATACATCGTTAGTGAGAAGAAAGAAGATACATTGGAGGCGTTAGCTGTCTTTGCCATGGGGATACCTTTGTTTATTATTGTTAGCATTAGCATGCTAGCGCATGGGTGCCCACCCGGTAGCTGTAGTAGGTAAACTTTAGCTATTATTGCCAGGTCTGTCGATAGCTACATGGTTTAGTTTATGTTGTAAAACAAAAAGTCACAAATAACACAAATCAGTAATGCATAACACACCAGCATTAAATGAGCTCTGCATATTCAGCGGCTCGTCCTCCAACCCAATTGACGAGAGAGAAAGCGAATTCACCGTGGATCCCAAACCACTCGTCGGTCTGTCTCCGAGGACCGAGTCTAGCAAGTCAAAATGTGGACTTGTTTTCGGACGACCGCTGCCACTCCGTCCGAGGTCTTTCTTTTGGTCCCGATAATCCTTCTTTATTTTTTTCAATTTGTTGCCAATCTGTTCGATGCAACGGTCATAACCAGCAGTTGCCATCTCTCGCTGCAATTGTTGCAGAATAGCTTTGGACCGCATGCTCCCCTCCAGCATCCTCTGTACCTCTTCGGAAGACCAGATTGCCACTAGGTAGCTGGTCTCTTCAGTGGACCACTGCTGCTTATTAAGTTTGAGGTTTTCCATTGTGTACAAACTGGATAAAACGCAGGCAATTTGTTGTTGTTCAGGAGGTTGATCCCGCCCATGCCCCTCCGCCTCTTAGCTCCGGAGCTCTTGCTTTTAGACCGACAATTTTTTGGAGCTGGAAACGAACCGGATTCCGGAGCTAAGAGGCGGCGCCGCTGCGGTGTGAACAGGAAAAACCGGTGCTTTTCAGGCTCTAGCTCCGAGCCGGCGCTGAAAACGCGTTGGTGTGAAAGGGGCATGAGTGACAAGCTGAGAAGTCAACAACTGTCAGGGAACATACTGTTACCCAGTGAGAAACATGCCTCTGGTTAATTATGATATAACTTGTTTTCTCCATAAAAGCTGGTGTGGTGGCTTTATCTGAAAACTGACAGCATAATTGCATTTATGGCCCGGGACACACATTTATTTAGATATGTTTTAAACAAGTTTAAATATAAGGCTGGAGTGTTTCTTGCTCTGCCAAACTGTCGTTTCCCCACAGCAGCAGGCGCACATTCATGACGTCCGCTGGCGCATCATAAATACGTCGATAGTGTAAGTGCAGTCGGATTCTCAAAGCACTGCAGTCTCTTCTCCTAAATCCTTTTGAATTCTTCTATCCACTATTCATGAACCCTGAAACGGTGTGACAAAGCCCACCATCCCCCCTCTGTTAACAAGAGATACTGTAGTAGCCTATGTTGCGGGGGATGGGAAACTTCTGACTTGCAGGGCAGCATTGCCGGTCTGAAAGGGTCTCTGGAAATATCAAACATTTAATTAAAGTTTTAAAAACAGTGACAGGTTAAAATCAGAGGTGGAAGAAGTATTCCGATTATTTACCTAGGTAAAAAGATGTGTTAGAAGCAAATGTCCTGCATTCAAAATTGTCAATAGCCCAAGTGAAAAGTATTATCATCTGAAAGTAAAATGAATCATTATGTTATTAGTATTAAATACATATAATTTGTACAACTTGTATTTAGAAATACTTATTGATGCATAAATGTGTTCATCCATTCAATGTGGCATCTGCTATAATGGGGTTAATGTGCTATAATGATATTACTTAATAATACAACACATTACTGTATAATACGTGATAATGTATGAGTTGATCTACTGTACTGTGTACACCACAACAATATTACAAAAAATATACTGCATAAAGCAAACTATTGTAAAGGTAAAAGTATGAGCATAAAAAATAAAGAAGTGTGAACATTTACATTATTATTATTTAATATATAAAGACTATATATTATTGAATTACAATTAAGATAATAAGATTAGATATACTTTATTTGATCTAAAATATTGATGTTTTTTCGTTATAGTAGCCTGTGAAAACCATAACAAATAAGTGATTAAATGCTCTTCAGCAAACACAACTGCAGAGCTGCAAACATGGTAAACAGACTAAGTTCTATCTGGAGTGCTACATCTGTAGCACTACATCTTAAAAAAATGAAGTTATTGAATTTTTCTATGAGTATATATTTTCGGCGTTGCAGTTTGTAGATGGTCCCTAAGCACTCCTCTCTCTCCTCCAGCCGCAGATTGTGACCAATTACTGATGTTTAGCTCGGATGACGCCGCGTATCGAACTGTTCTGATAAAAACGACTCTGTAGCTCGTTGTCTACCTTGCTACGGTTGTAAAGTCACGTTGTTTGTATTTTTACAACGTTATGTTCATGAGTTATTGATCCGCAAAGTTCGAATCTGTCAATATCTTTCTAACTTTACCAAACTCAGCTCAGAGTATGCTTTGCGACGTGCATGTCCCCTCGCTCTGAGTATTCTCTTGAGGTATCTTTATATGTTAGGCCAAGCTCAAAGTAAAAATCGATCAACCGCTCCATTGTTGTGGTCGCCGAACTGACCCGGAAGTACATTGAGCTTAATGAAAAGTATTGCGTGATCTCGCCAAACTTTTCTTTTTTTTTTAAACCAATTCTCCATGTCCCCTAGGGGGCTCCGTAAATAAGTGATGCAGACTGTGAAATATTACTGGATCTATAACCTTTACATTGGAATTACATCACATACATTTTTCAAACACGTTGTCAGTGCTCTGTCTTTGTGGCCATGGGACTTTATCAACATGGCAAATGTTGACAGCTGTCACTTATCATCAGCTGCCAACTGGGAGAAGAGTTTAAGGTTCAAAGTTGAGAAGCAGCTCATGGGCAGCTGGGAGGAATAGTTAACAAAGTTGAGGTGCCATTGTGCAAGGCTGGCGAACCGTTACTCCAGTTTTTCGTGCTTGCCATCTCCCAGTTCCGTTAGACTGGTTACAATGGGCAGCTCAAGGTAGATGGGAAATTGGAACTGGCTCTTCGATGGAGGAACAAAGGCTTAACACACTTAAACAATGTCCACATGTTACAAGGTTTAGGCAATACATAGCAAAGGAAGCTGATGAAAGTGACGGAAACTATGTGAGTTTTGATGAAAATCACTGAGCCCCAGCAAAGCTGTTTTAATGAAGCTGAAAAGCTCCACCAGCAGTAAATTAATGCAAGAGAACAACGCAGCGTTCATCTGAAATCTGGCGAAAGATGTCACCCCACGTAGTTGATAAGCCTTCCTCTAAACAGCGTTCCAGGGAACGGTTTGAAATCGAAATCAGTGTTCCCAATGTAGCAGGAACACTGGGTTCAGGTAACTGTCCCACACTCATCTCTAGGCCCTGAACTCACCATGACCTTAAGTAGGTCAACTCCTCCGCCAGAGCCAACCCCTAATTAACTCAGGGGTCATGTTTGATCAGCAACTCAATATTCCTCATGTGCATCTTATATTATCACTGAATTACATTCATTTTTATTAGCCTACTAATATGCTTGTTTTCCTGGTCCACCTGGTGTTTCTTTGGCTAAGTGTGATGCCTGAAGTTCCTGTTAACCTGGAGGGATGTGTGTTGTTCCCCAGCTGGCCCTGCTTAGTACTTTAGTATTAATCATACTGAGTAGTGGTAAGTTTATAATTAACTAAGTTAAAAGATTTAAATGTGTACTTCTGTATTGTAATCTAATGTACAATGTGTTTTTCCTACTAGGTGGTATCAGCTGCTGTTTTGCTATAGTTAGGTTTTTTTTTAGTTTAGTTTAGCTGTCTTATATTTAGGATTTTAGTGTATTTTGCTGTTTGCTCGTTTGGACCAACTGGATAATTGTTTCTTCTGCTTTATACTCATTTGTTGTTTCTTTGCCCCTTGTAGTGGAGTTGGAGCCAGCTAGTGGTGGAGGCTAGGCACACAGTCTGATTCCCTTCACGGCTTGTAGTGGTAGGAGCACTGGGACACAGTTTGTAGTGAGTTTTGATTTGCAGTGAGTTTTGGTTTGCAGTGAGCACCTGTGGTGGGTAAGTGGGAGACAGCCCTGTTAGACTGCCTCCCCCTGGCTGGCATGTGCCCACTCCCCTTTTCCCCTCATTGATTTTAGTAATTTTCTATATAAAGTGTTTTACCAAGAATAAACGAATAAATGTGATTGACATTTTGAAATAAACTGTTAAACTTTTTCATTATAAATTGAACCACGTCTCTGTCTTGTGTCAGTCACAAACTTGAAGAGCCTTCTTATTTCTGAGGTGTAAATTAAATATTTCCTGGGGTGAAATTCCCCAGGTGGCGTTGTCAGGCATTTTGGTATTTGGCTGGCACTGCCTTTAAAAACGACCACCCCGTCACACCAAGAAAGCCTGATTTATGCAGCTTGTGTATACACACACACACACACACACACACACACACACACACACACACACACACACACACACACACACACACACACACACACACACACACACACACACACACACACACACACACACACACACACACACACACACACACATAATTGACGGTGTCATAATTCTCACCTGCCTCACATAACTCAGTGCAGTTGTGTTAGTGCAGAGGGATTCATGCCCTTCAGGGTGTGTGAGTGTGAAAGAAACGGAGAGAGATTAAGGCGCCGTTTACACGAGGAGAAAACTGCTTGTATCTGCATAGTTTCGCGTGCGTATAGCCCTATTATTTACACGAGGCCGATAGAAACTGACCCCACAAACGATCCCAAGGTGGATAGATTTGCAAACGAAACGCTCTGGGGGGTCAACCGAGTCCGTGTAATCACCTCTATACGAATATTTCCTGAAAAAATAACGATAGCCCCGCCTCTCCCCACCTCTCCTGCTCACTGCTGTAGCAACTATCAAAAATAGCTGTGTTAATTAAACGCACAAGGGGTTCTTGAATGAAATAATATTATAAAAGGCAAACCAGAATTGTTAACGCCCAATATACTCCTTAAACAAAATAAACAGAGTCAGATTTCATGCATTGATCCATTATATTGACAATTTTCCAGCCAAACAACACAAACAAAATTAAAAAGTCCGCTCTGCGATACACCAAACTTGTCTTTACTGCCTAATCCAGGCCATTATTGTTCATTGCTCCTGCGCCCGTCGGCGGCAAAAAGAGAAATGTTTGTAGGCAGAGGACCGGCGTGTCCCACAGGAGCGATCTCACCCGGTGTTTGTAGAGAATATCTCTCTTTCTGAGCCGTCCTCTCCACGGAGACGTGCTTCTTGGTCGGTCGATGCAATATC